CATCGTGATGCTCGGAGCTTAACATTCTATACTACATACACTCATCGTGATGCTCGGAGCTTAACATTCTATCACTACATACACTCATCGTGATGCTCGGAGCTTAACATTCCATCAGTACATACACTCATCGTGATGCTCGGAGCTTAACATTCTACTACTACATACACTCATCGTGATGCTTGGAGCTTAACATTCCATCAGTACATACACTCATCGTGATGCTCGGAGCTTAACATTCTATTACTACATACGCCTAGAATATGATTCATAGAAATTGAAAGGGGAAAATTTCGCGATGATTCAAATAATAAGTCTTATTATCTGATATATATTTAAACTCTGACACTGTTATACCTAATTACCATTGAATTACATGGTCGAGTTTATACTGTATTTTAAACGTCACACAAAGAGAGTGAAAACAATCCTTTTATTTTTTTCACCAAAACACGTCTGTTGTTTAGACATCCTAAAACCGAGTAACAGTCCTTTATTATATGTACGGATAAATAATCAACTAGAAAACTGCGTTTTTATATAGGAAACGCAATTATTTAATTGCTATAACAACATTCTACATCTATAAGAATTCATGTGATAGAACTTGTATAAGATTAAAGTATTTTTGTTTTACTTCAGCACGTGCTCTTCTACGTCAGTGGAATATCTATCGTCAGGGTTTGTGCAAGGAGTCTGATGAAAACGGTATCACCATTTCGGGACTGAACCGTTTCCGAAGTGCTGTATTGACTCAAGAGAAAGACGCAGTAATATAATGATTCTTGGCTCGATGTGCTTGTTAATTGATGTTCATAATGCTACTGGTTCCCACGTGTTGGTTTTCTCGCATTTCTTCCCTACAAACACCAAATAATGTTAACTATGGTGAAACGCCAACGATTGATTTTTTTATATCCCCATTTTTACATGTTTAATTTGTTATCGATTTCCAAAATTTGTGAGATACTTCCACATTTTAATTTATCAACAATACAAAATTTATTTATTTAACATTTAGAGTAGCTTGTCGTTCTTCAACTATCATTAGTTCTTATTGGATGAAGTATCATCTCTGTCACGTCTTTAACTATTCTTCCACTTACAGGATGAAGTACATCTTCTGTCTCCTCTTTAATCAATATTCTTCCTAATGGATACAGTATTCCTTCTGTCTCCTCTCTAATCAATATTCTTCTTAATGGATACAGTATTCCTTCTGTCTCCTCTCTAATCAATATTCTTCTTAATGGATACAGTATTCCTTCTGTCTCCTCTCTAATCAATATTCTTTTTAATGGATACAGTATTTCCTCTGTCTTCTTTATAATCAATATACTTATTAATGGATACAGTATTCCTTCTGTCTCCTCTCTAATCAATGTTCTTCTTAATGGATACAGTATTCCCTCTGTCTCCTCTCTAATCAATATTCTTCTTAATGGATACAGTATTCCCTCTGTCTCCTCTCTAATCAATATACTTCTTAATGGATACAGTATTCCTTCTGTCTCCTCTCTAATCAATATTCTTCTTAATGGATACAGTATTCCTTCTGTTTCCTCTCTAATCAATATACTTCTTAATGGATACAGTATTCCTTCTGTCTCCTCTCTAATCAATATTCTTCTTAATGGATACAGTATTTCCTCTGTCTTCTCTATAATCAATATACTTATTAATGGGTACAGTATTCCTTCTGTCTCCTCTCTAATCAATATTCTTCTTAATGGATACAGTATTCCTTCTGTCTCCCAGAGAATTTAAAGTTAGTGAAGCATGTGTTTAATATTAGTATTAGAAGTGAATGAACTGTGACTGAAGTAAAAGTAAATCAATATCAGAGATTTTTAAAGTTAGTGAAGCATGTGCTTATTATTAGTATTAGAAGTGAATGAACTGTGACTGAAGTAAAAGTAAATCAATATCAGAGATTTTTAAAGTTAGTGAAGCATGTGTTTAATATTAGTATTAGAAGTGAATGAACTGTGACTGAAGTAAAAGTAAATCAATATCAGAGATTTTTAAAGTTAGTGAAGTATGTGTTTAATATCAGTATTAGAAGTGAATGAACTGTGAGTGAAGTAAAAGTAAATCAATATCAGAGATTTTTAAAGTTACTGAAGCATGTGTTTAATATCAGTATTAGAAGTGAATGAACTGTGAGTGAAGTAAAAGTAAATCAATATCAGAGATTTTTAAAGTTAGTGAAGTATGTGCTTATTATTAGTATTAGAAGTGAATGAACTGTGACTGAAGTAAAGGTAAATCAATATCAGAGATTTTTAAAGTTAGTGAAGCATGTGCTTAATATTAGTATTAGAAGTGAATGAACTGTGAGTGAAGTAAAAGTAAATCAATATCAGAGATTTTTAAAGTTAGTGAAGCATGTTCTTATTATTAGTATTAGAAGTGAATGAACTGTGACTGAAGTAAAAGTAAATCAATATCAGAGATTTTTAAAGTTAGTGAAGTATGTGCTTCTTATTAGTATTAGAAGTGAATGAACTGTGACTGAAGTAAAAGTAAATCAATATCAGAGATGTTTAAAGTTAGTGAAGCATGTGTTTAATATTAGTATTAGAAGTGAATGAACTGTGAGTGAAGTAAAAAATATGTTATCAGAGAAGGTGAAGGAAATGTGTTACCATATGAGGTGAAGGATGTGTGTTATCAGAGAAAGTGAAGGATATGTGTTACCATATGAGGTGAAGGGTATGTGTTATCAGAGAAGGTGAAGGGTATGTGTTACCATATGAGGTAAAGGGTATGTGTTACCATATGAGGTGAAAGATATGTGTTATCAGAGAAGGTGAAGGGTATGTGTTATCAGAATAGGTGAAGGATATGTGTTACCATATGAGGTGAAAGGATATGTGTTATCAGAGAAGGTGAAGGGTATGTGTTATCAGAGAAAGTGAAGGATATGTGTTACCATATGAGGTGAAGGGTATGTGTTATCAGAGAAAGTGAAGGATATGTGTTACCATATGAGGTGAAGGGTATGTGTTATCAGAGAAGGTGAAGGGTATGTGTTACCATATGAGGTGAAGGATGTGTGTTATCACAGAAAGTGAAGGATATGTGTTATCAGAGAAGGTGAAGGATATGTGTTATCACAGAAAGTGAAGGATATGTGTTATCAGAGAAAGTGAAGGATATGTGTTATCACAGAAAGTGAAGGATATGTGTTATCAGAGAAAGTGAAGGATATGTGTTATCACAGAAGGTGAAGGATATGTGTTATCAGAGAAAGTGAGGAATATGTGTTATCACAGAAAGTGAAGGATATGTGGTATCACAGAAAGTGAAGGATATGTGTTATCAGAGAAAGTGAAGGATATGTGTTATCAGAGAAAGTGAAGGATATGTGTTATCACAGAAAGTGAAGGATATGTGTTATCACAGAAAGTGAGGGATATGTGTTATTAGAGAAGGTGAGGGATATGTGTTATCAGAGAAAGTGACCTGAGAGGAGAAAGAGATGGGAAGGAAGTGATTGAAAGATTTGGTTTTGCTAGAGGAGAAAGAATCAGTGAATGATTTAAAAGATATTTTGACTGGTGTAAAAACTACAGAGTTTTTCTGAGTATCTCTATGAAATAAAACATTTGGATTGAATACGAAACTATCAATATTGTTCGTTTAGAAAAAACTTTATATGTATGTTAGTTAATAACAAATTTTAGTGAAATATTTTAAAAGAAGTAATTAGTACCACTATTGAAACTTTAATATAGTCCAAACTTTAACGTGGAACAGATATAGTTTAATCCACAGAAACTTTTCTGGTATTTGCAGAATTTGGAATATAATAAATCAAATGAAGAACCAGAGATCAGGTAAGAAGCAAAAGAAATAATTCATCATGTTTGGATTAACTCTTACATAGATAATCAGTTGATAAACACCAGTAACAATTCTACATAACACTGTATTACTTTATGTTATAATGTAGTTGATTAATAGTTATTATTCTATCTAATCCTTATACGTTGGTTTCTAATAGAACTGGCTAATAAACAAACAACTATAGGCTAGTTATGTGGACAAAAAATGATCTGTAGCTCCAACCCACCAGTAACCACCCCACTCGTTCGTTTTCAGGTTTACTATAAACTAATGTTACGACAGAGGAAGTCACGTGAATCTGCTGACGCGTTGGCGCTGGCAGTGTGCGTGATGAGTTTCTTGAATGATCGGGGAAGTGCGACTGTGTTCGAGTTGCCCTCTTCGTTAGTATATAAGCCTGGCAGAGAAAACCAGTAGGATGAATGAAGAGAGAGTAATAGTTACTTTGAGTTCCTGGTAATTTATGATTATATTAGTTTCGAGCTAGTGAGCCGT